CACATTCCAAGCATTTTATTTTATAGACACAATTAGATAGAGAATCTTTAGGGATTTGGTCTCTTATATGGACAAGGTTGCTTTGAAGTGTGTCTGATGTTTTGAAGAAAACTCTAGTGTCAAGCTGATTGAGTACTCTTCTGATATCGTCTGACGTCTCTGCTCTATATGGAATGACGACTGTTGAGGTCCATGTTTTCGGAATGCGTTTTCGGCCATACTTAATGTCTGTGTTGATTTTGTTGATGAAGTTCCATGGGTAGTTGTTTTGCTTGAGAGTTTCAGTAATGTTTGATATTTCTTCTTCTTTTTCTTTCTCGTCGGTTATCAGAGAGTGTGCTCGTCTAAGAAGACTTGAAACAACTGATACTTTTGCACTGATGGGGTGTGATAACTTGAAGTCTAAATTTTTATTTGAGTGGGTTTTCTTCCTGAATATGGATATACTAAAATGTCCGTTTTCCCTTCTCTTAACTAGGCAGTCTAGAAATGGTAGTTCACCGACGTCTGATTCTGCTTCGGAAGTGAATTGGATTCTGGGAGATACACAGTTTATTTTCTCCAGGAATGAATTGTGTAGATCTCGTTTTAGTACTACAAAAGTATCATCTACATATCTTAACCATATTTAAGGAGTGAGTATGCTTGAAAATATGTTATTTTCGAATCTATTCATGAAAAGGTCGGCGACTATTGGGAAATACAAAAACCTTTATTATAATGAATATCATATACCCAATGCCAAAATTTTTTCAAACCGTTAAAAGTGAACTTGGTTTGGACATATATAACATTTCCAATGCCTTCATAATTTCATCTGGATTTAAAGTACAACGAGCATTCAGTTCGTCGTCAGAACGAGGTAAATTATAAACATTGCTTACAGATTTCCTTTTTATATATCAACCTCTGTTATGTTAATTTCGATTAATTTCCCTGAAGAAGTTCGGGCCAGTTTGCCGAATGAAACGTTGGAATTACTCATTTCAATCTCGCTGAGATCATACAAATAAAGTTTTCACAAACATCGGTTCAGGTTGTTAACCCAGCTATGCAACCTAATTGACCTACACAGTGAACAGTTGTCATTCATTAATTTGATCACTACTTAGTTTCAAATTGACTCCTAGTTCAGTAATATAGCAGGTCACAGTAGTCGGAAGCAACTGCGTGCTTTTGATGTCGGTAGAGATAGCGGCTAAACTTGTTCCTTGAAGCTTTACAGGTACTGTGCGCGTGCTTATCTCAATACCACTTTTTCTTTGTTCATTCCATGATGAACAACCTATTCTAATTGCCTAACAAATCAGTAAATTTCATACTCACATGAGAAGAAAACTAATTACACTTACGACAGACTAAAACTTAAATATCTCTTGTATTTCACTTCCAACGCCTAGAACGCATCACAATCATAGGTGAAGCAATAACACTCTATCTTTAGCTCACAAAACAGAAATGATATCTAGAAATTTCAATCGGTATTTGAAAATGTTATAGTTCAAAAATAATCATCACTCCTTTAAAATATGTAAGAAAATCAAAATAAGTCAAATTGTTATTTACATAATTGAAGGAGGTTTACTTCAATCAGACTACGTGTTGGGATTTCTGGACTGGTGAGAAGCATGTTGTAAAGCTGCCGGTAGGATTTCACGCAACTCCTCACGACAGATAGTTCTCACCATTTCGATTAGATCTCGTTCATTAATACTGGATGTCGGTTCTGTTTCAGGTGAATCACTTCTTGAACTAATAAGGGAGCTATCTCCCACATTATGAAGTAGAGATAGCATTAATATGTTCATTTTACTTATGCACTCACCGTTGTCTAGATTATATAAACACTTAAATGAGTGTAACCTTGATATATATATATATATATATATATATATATATATATATATTCAAATCAAACTTTGCAAGTCTCCCGTCGAATCAACTGTAAACGAACTGTGAATGAATTGTTGACTTCATTTCCGCCTCTCTCCTTCTGCGTGCATTTGATACAAAAATGGATGCACAAAGTGTACCTTACTTGAACGCACAGGGCTCAATCGAAATTAGCTAAAATATAACTGGAAATTAAATTGCACGAGTTTTGTGCATTGTAATAGATAGGTAGCGACAGTTAACTGACATTTAGAAGACAAAAGGATTGAGCGATGAAATATTTTACTTTTCAACCAGATCATTATTGTGGCTCTACTCTTACATATATAGCATTTTGAATACAATGTAGAAAGTTTACCGAACTATTGGCAATACGTTTGTTAGAAATAATCGAGCAGTATCAACATGTCGGGGGGTGGGTGATGACTAGCGAAGAAAATTAATACAAAAATTAGAGGGTATAAATGATTACAATAAGCGGATTGAATAATTTCGGAAATATTAGGAGCTATAAATGAGTGTTCAAGTTGAGTACATGATAAGCAGTTAAAGATGTAGTCAGAAAAAGTAATCTGGACAATGTTTACTTGTAAAAGGCTTGCAAGTGGGAGGGGGACGAAATTGTCACTTTTTTACATTCATGTACTAACGGTCAAGGTTAGGGAATTGGCTGTACGAATTTCGTCTGAACATACAGTTTTAGCTGCTTAAGGTGGATTCTGATGACTTCAAGTATATGTAAAAGACAACCTCGTAAAGCAAAATTGATAATAGTTAGTGTGCGAGAAATAACTTTAAGTGCTTTATTAACATCGACTTCATATGCTCGCTGTCTACAAGATGTGCCAAAACAGAGCTACGAATAGATCTAGTTTGTCCCTTCCTTAACGACGCAGGATGATGTTTGGAAATACTATGATTAGCCTGTCTGATTGTACGCCTAATGTACCTAGGACCGCAAGAGCATTCAAACTGATAGATACACATAGAGTAGGCGAAATGAGGCAATTTGTCATGAACGATTCTTGTGAAACAAATTAGAAAACATGAAAGGAAGCGCAATACGGGAGACGTGAAAAAGTTTGATTTTGATAAATAGTAGATATATTTCGCATAAAATTGTACATCGATTTGCCAGTAAATAATTCTGTTACAAAATATTCTTGTAATTTGCCGTTAGAATTCCACCTTCATTAAACAAAATAGTGATTAAATCACTCCTTATTTATACCAAATATGTTGATTTTTATATCAACACAGCTGCACACCTTTGTCTGTGTTTCGATAAGCGTAGTATAGTATTTGTGGATTGTGAACCACTTTCGATACTGTTCGATGACATCTTTGGGATTTCAAACCCTATATTGACCCCTTTTGTTCATATTTGTGAATCTCTTGATCATTATTTACGAATGGAATTGAACCAATACAAAATTACTTAGCTAGAATCTAGAGCTTTCGGGAAATTAGGATTTTTGCAATGTTATCTCATAAAAGTATATATATATTTGCGATTTTACAGCTTGAAAATGATATCCCTGAAAAAATCAACCCATCCTTTTATCCTGGGTTTTCGCTAATGTATGATCAAATAACATCACCATGACTTAAAATATGACCTTCAAGAGATTGAAAATATATGTATGCGTCCTAACATATTTAAAAATGCTTGATTGCAACATGTGGCTATTGAGATGCTGATTGCCTCCAACCGTCTAATATCATCAAATCAATGTGCACCGGGATGGCGAGCTACCTAGAATGGTGACCAAATTGCAAACCTGACTGATAGAATTCAGTCTGCACCAAAGAGAGGACTAGACACATCACACTAGTTACTAGTATCCAATATAGTCCTACAGGAGGTCAATTGCAAGCCCGAATAGCTCAGTGGTAACATCCCTCAATGTCTGTCTGGATTCAACATAGAACTTGGCACCGAAGTGCAGCAGTTCGAGTTGCCACGTTCCATATAGCACACAAAGGTAGACAAGAAAATGAGTGAAGAGAACCAATAGAGTTTTGACAAGGATAAGAGTGAAACAGAATGAGTAATGGTAGAAAGGAATATGAAAGATTACAGAGACTGAATTCATCTGCGCCATTGACAACGATTTTGAGCCATGTCACCTATTGTCTCAAGCCATTGATTCTTAGAGTCCCGAGGGCCCCAACCCGGAAGTCTGCTTCTCCCTACCTGACTCAGTTTAACTGTCAAGGATTTCATGGATTGATGCCATGTTTTTGTTTGGCCACCGCTTACTCTTTTCCAACCTGCACCTATATCAGCTAGTAATGCCCGTCGGGGGAGGCTATGGTTAGGCATACGCAGTACGTGACCCTCACTGCAGCACTGGGTGACGCGGTGCTGACTGGTGACTGACAACTAGCAGGAAACCTAGGTCCAAGGCTTCCTGCCGAATGCCTTCGACCGCCTAATATCAGGGAATCTAATCTACTGATATTATTGATTTGATGTTATTCAAACATTAATTTCGTTAATAACCTTAATTCTTTCATTATCATGGATACATAACTGTAGAACCTGGTGAAAAAGTTATCGAAAAGAATATTCTTTCTTCAGTAATCAGTCTTTTTGGCATTTATTGAAGAATAGAACTCGTACACTGTGGTAGAGTATAACTCCATTGTGGGTAAAATTTATTTTGGTAAACTCTCACAGTGTTAAACAGTAATATTAAAGTAACATTATTACAGCAAATATTACTTTTTAACACTGTGAGTTTTGGCATTTAGATTAGTTTGATTTCACTTTGGGTGTTTCATTAAGGACTCGAAAATTCGACAAAAATATTTTCAAACATTTGTCCTGGAATAATCAGAAAAATATGTATGGCTGAAACAAGTGTCAAGTCAAATTATGACTTTTAGAAGATAATTGACATATTCTCTCAACCATATATACGGAACAGGCCTACAACATATGAAATTGGATTCTTAAGTAAACAGGCGCCAAAATGATTTTCACTAACCAAAATTCTATTCAAATTTTATTACAAAATATTTACAGAGATCATTCGTACAAAGAAAAAATATGAAGGAAATATACCTCACAACAGCCTGTGAAGATATATATATATATATATAGAGAGAGAGAGAGAGAGAGAGAGAGAGAGGATGTCCATATAACTCGTGAAATAGTTGACTGCAATGAGAATTGGTTGTCATATAATTGGAACTCATATGACTGCTTCACACTTGTGAGCGGCTTCACGGTGTTTACGTATGCTGCTGTGAGATAAAAGGTCTTCACCAGAAACCCACAACTGATTGAAATCTATTACAGTCCTGAAACAAAAAGTACATTCAGCCATTAAGCATTATCCAAAACTGGGTATCAATTAGTATAAATAAGATTCACTGGAGTGAAGTCTAAGGCTGGAATAAAACACTTTTGTACTCCCCTCCATTTTGTCAACTTTTCGTTTTAGTTTGTTCCCTAGTATCACAGTTACACAACTTCTTTTGTCTTGATATTCCTCCGAGTTTACTGTTTCTAAATGCGTAAAGTTAGGCTTATACAGTCATACACTATTTTTGGTTTTGTTGATGCTAGCCCTGTTTTAAGCAATTTTCCTTGCAACCTTGGTTCGTCAACAAGGCTTGAGCCACTGTACTGTATGTATATACCATACAATCATCTTGAATAAGGATACTGTATTGTATGACACAGTCAAGCAAGCATAGCGAACGCTTATAACCATATTTTATTGGTTTTCGATGGTAGGTTAACTGAGAACACAATATAATTATAGTTATTCTTCTGGTGAATTAAACATCACGGAAATTCAAACGGAGTAATGGCCCCATCAAATGCGAGCAGCAGACGAGTGACAAAATGTATTCACACCTCCAACTATTAACAATCAGACGTCTCAACCAGATGACAGGAAATAATTCCACTTGAATGACACCACCTTTGACAAGGGTCCAAGAATTTAGTATGATCAAGTTCTGCTACCTGCCTTTATTTCAGTAATAATACATATTGTAGTGTGAAGCCACCAGTCTTTACATGCAGTCACTGTTATAATCTATATATATATATATATATATATTAATATATATATATATATATATAACACCGAAAGTTCAAAATAAATTTTACAATTTTATTTCTTTGCTTTCCCTGGTTCAAGTGGCTATAAGAAACCGACCAGGAGTTCATAGCATCTTTCAACTTAGGCGAATATCCAAGAGCATAAAGTAACAGAAAGAGAGCTTACTCTGCCTCAAAACGTTTTGAAACGAATGGTTTTCGAAGGCCACCATGTTTTGCAACATGTGACGAATTACTCCTTATAATCGTAACATCAACTGACTCCTCATCAACTGCAAGAGAAGTTTCATTAGCCTCTGGGTGGACATCCACAAACTGAATCTGCCTGAAATTGGAAGAATTAGCAATTAGTACACACAAAGTACCTGCTTAGTTGTTCTTCCCAACAAAGTGGTTTCGTTTTACGTTTCCTATTGCATTCTCTTTTGCTACTCTTCATTCTAAGTCTGAGCAATAGCGAACAAAAATATTGAATATAATTTCTGAGACTAATCATTATTCTGAAGCAATTATGTCAAAACGAATTGATCTAATGCTCCATACACGAGCACATTCTCAAAAAAGACGAGAGATATCGAGAGCTAAAGTCCTATTCGTAAATTAGTAATAGAAAATACAGCACTGGCCGTCTGGATTGATTATTCCCGACATGACCATCTATAAAAGCCATAAGTCTACTTAAAGACAAAAATATGACAGCACTGAGTGTGTCGTATAAGACTAGGGACAAAGGAACAGGCCCCAAATGCGTCCAAGGAGCTCTCACACAACAAAGTCTGTGATTTTATCAAAAAGCAATGTTATTGGTCGTCACGTCATCATTCGTACACAGATGGAACTGGGGAACACCGAGGAGAAAACACTCGAAGTGTTAGCCAAAGCCACCAAAAGCTGGTGTCATGATCAACGAGCTCGGAAAAAAGGAGAATAATTATCAGAAGAGGTAGTTTCAATAAACAAATGTCTAACTTCTTTAATTACTTCGTTGTTATTTCAAATTTTCCCTCCATTCCTTTACTACAGGTGTCTTACAATGTCTGTCAACCTGGTCACAGCCAATCATTATCCCCAAAATAATGTATAAAATCAATTTCGCAAACGGTTTTCACCTCTCACTATTTTTATGAAAGCTGTATTTGACTGTATAAATATTATCCCCACACTGTAAAAGCCTTATTTTATATCACTGGAATGTGGAGTTGTAGAGATATTAGAATCTAAAGACAATAATCATTAAGCTTGTCACTGTAGGAAAATTCTGTTTGGTAGTTAACAGAGTACAGGGCGAAGGTGGGTAATCAGTTCATTCGAGAAGTGGGTAAAAACAAGGGAACTTATTGAGAAATTGGGTAAGTTTTTCGTTCGAAACATGGGTAATTTGTCATTTCTGCTCCTGGGACATATGTGTAAAAACCTGGGATGTGTGGGTTAAGTAAGAAAAGGCGGGACGTGAAAAATATTTCTGGACATAAATATACGTTGAAAAGGTGGACAAGTCATGTTGAATTTTATCCCCTTTATCCCACGTTCGACTCACTGTGCTTATGTGGATTGTGTTCAACAGTTTGAAAGGAAATATTATGAACAGATATGTACTGAAGAAGGAAAATTAACTTTGAAAGTAACTCTTTAGATTAAATTATTGGTACGAATTGAAGCAACTGATCTCATATCAAAGTTCTCTATTTCCAAGTATTATTAACGGCAAAGTTCAACAATAGCGTCCCAGGAGTCCGAAAGCACCAATGACCTTGAACGCATACAAGTCGTCGGCTGACGGCACTTGTCATTATCATAGCTGAAATATCAACGTTATTCACCAACTAAGCAGAAAATTTCACTCAGATCACGTTTCTAAGTACCGTTTCGACAATGTATTAATAGCTCGTTAGGATTAGGATTAAGGTATGTTTTGGGGTTGGGGTTCGGATTAGGATTAAGTTTGGGGTCAGTGTTAGGGTCAGCATTAAGGTTAGGGTTACGGCTAGGGATAGATTAATAGTTGATGTCATCTATTTTAATCTGTTTTCTTATCCATATTTTCCTGGTAATTAGTTGTCGATCCTCTTACTGGAAAGCATAGTAATTCAACCGAGGGCTTTTGGGGAAGACTGCACAACAGGATAAGAGAGATGAACGATTCACAAAACAGCTCGTCTTCAGTCACCTCGGTGAATACATGTGCAGAAACTAGTCTAACTTAGCAACTGAAACTCCTCGTTACAATTTTGACGTACTTCTAAGTCATGTCAGAGAAGGATAACCTGCATAATGTGTTTTCATGCATTTTCTTGTAAATATACGTCATCTTTTGTGCAGAAATTCCTCATTTTCTATGATTGGTCGGCTGAAAGTCACCCGTGCGTTCACATCCCTTGGGACGCGATTGTTGGACAGTCAACAACACTGACTTGTATATTAATCGGTTTATATAAACTATTTCCTACTTCCCAATTTCGCGAAGATATTTTCACGACGAAAAATCAGACCGGTTTGGTTTGCTTTGACTGAACATTGTTGTTAATCATCCAAAATTAATGAACCGTGATGAAGTGATACTTAATACATATTAGTATTAAAGCCTGAAAATCGACCTCAATAACTCCGGATACATATTTAAGTATATCCATACAAATTACATGCAGTTGTTCTCATTGATGAATTTGAGTGATTTCACATTGACTAATGCAAACAAACAAGTGTAAGAGTAAACAACAGACACCAAAGTCAAATGACCTTGGTTTGACCAGTCAGATAGCTCAGAATCACATATCGTCGCCAGTCATAATCCTCGTTGCAAATGTTTCTTAGAATTGCTTTATGACTTCTCTGTGGAGAATGTGTTCAAGGGAAGGAATAAAACATGCATATGTCGACGGACGACGACTGTGCAAAAGTACTGACGGACTACACATTCAGATGCAACCGCTTTATATGAGGAAGTCTGTATAAGTTGGTAAGTCATACATAACTTGTGACTTTTTGAACACTTTCTTCTCGAAATCAAAGGTCTCCCTTACTAATATATAGCTTTTATGCAACCAGTATCTCTTATAGGAGATACAGCTGGAGAAATAAAGAATACATCGGTTTGATATGTCTATAAGCACTTCTACGAGAATCTGGGACCAGCTTTTCCAGCAATTAGAGATGTAAACTTTAAATGACTCACTTTTATTACATATATATCGCAGATACACTACTCTGTAAATTAAGTACCACTTTTCACCTAGAAGAATCTGATTGTCTATTTCAAGGTTGTCTGAAGTTGGTGTCAATTCTTTACTGTTGCCTCGTTCTAAATTGATCGAATGATAATGACCGTAAGTTCTGCCTCCTGTGTGTCTTACTCTAGCACCTGTGTATCAAATGTGCGTCGGTGGCACAGTGGTTAGGACTCTCGCCGACCATGCACATGGTCCGAGGTTCGAACCCCTGCCGGTGCACACCCGATATCTATGGTCGGCCTGCGAAATTTGGGCTACCGATATCCATGCTGAAAATGCCATACTTGTACTGAAAATGCATTGTGGCATAACGCTGTAAACAAAATAAAATAAAAGTTAAAAAATTAACGCAACGTTTCGTAGTTCCCGCATGAAGTTCCAATATCCAATATCCTGATTACGAGCTAGTATAAACCAGTGATTTCTTTGAGCTCGCTTCTTGATTGTAAGGTAGAAGTTCCAGATCTTCGGTGAACTTATGCGTAGTAAGTCCCGCCACTCGACTGCTTAAGCTCTGGTAGACTCCAAGATGAGTGGTGCGGGGATTGGTCAAAATGTGGTTCGTAGTGTGCAGTATTTTAGGACTGAGTTGCTGCCGTGAATGGAGTTTGACCTAACACCCGTTGGTCATTCGGTGTAGTCATAAAAGCAGAATAGTAATAATAATAGTAGGTTATAGTGTAGATAATATAGGTTGAGATAAGTGAATTAATAAAGGTGACCTAAGGAAAAGATAGAGTAGTCGGTACAGTGAGAGAAGACATAACGGGTCGTGGGGATTTGGCTTGTATGTTTATCCATTGACAGTGTGGTTTCAATTTTTAAGAGGATAAGCCATTGAGACGCAAACCTTCCACTTCTGCATGATTGTCCAGCTTCCGCCTAAAAGTCCCCACAGATGGCGCTGTAGTCATGGCCGCCGGTAAAGCGTTCCAGAGATGGCAAACTCGAAGCGAAAAGAAATGTGAACGCACTCGATTCTTTGGTCTCTAATGTGCTATCCTTAGCGGGTTACCTCGTGGAAACCTATAATCACTTAATGGCAGGATGCTTATATTAGGGTGGGCCTGGTCATTTAAGATCTTATAGACGGTGATGAGGTCTCTCCTGTGACTACGGTAACTAAGTGTGAAAAGACTTAATTTCTTCAGTCTTTCCTCATATGATTTGTTGCGGAGGCCGATCACCCATTTTGTCGCTTGTCTCTGGACACTTTCTAGAATGTTAGCATCCCTTTTGAGTGCCGGAGGAGCAATGATATTATGCACCTCAAGGAGTGGCCTCACGTATGTCGTATACAACGTTAAGAATAGTTCAGGAGTAAGAGCTCCCAGCTGCCTATGCATAAAGTGTAAAGTTGCGTAAGCTTTGGCGACGTCCCTCGTGTAATTTACACTGGTGTCTAGCTTTTCTGTTAAAATAAGACCTAGGTCGCGTTCTGATGGCACACAACTCAAGTTCTGGCCACCAAGGGTGTAATTTACACTCTGTGACCTGCCGGAATGAAGTTGCACTACTTTGCACCTCTTTAGGTTGGAAGGCATTCCGTTAGCCAGAGCCCAGTCTCCCAGAGTTTGCAGGTCAGCCTGCAATCTGTTGGAGTCTTCCGATGAGTTTATTGCTCTCCAAATCTTTACGTCGTCAGCGTAAAGAAGCGCAGAGCAGTTCAGTTGACAGGGCAGGTCGTTGATAAAAATCAAAAACATCAACGTCCTTAAGATAGAACCCTGAGGAACCCCTGATGCCGAGGTGTGCCAGGATGATCGGATGCGGTTGACTTTGGTGCAGGATTCTCTCTCGCCTAAGTAATCTTTCAGCCATGCGAGAAGTGCTTCAGAAACACGCGCCCTGCTTATTTTGTGAAGGAGTAGACCAGTGTGAACTGTATCGAATGCTTTCGAAAAGTCGAGAAAGATCACATGGACTGGTGCCATTACATCCCAGGATAATGTCCAATCGTTCGAAGCTAGTAGAAGATCCGTCACACAGGATCCTCCCCTCCTGAAACCATGCTGTGCTTCATGGAGTAGGTTAGTCCCGTCGAAGTATTTTCTTATGTGTTCGTCAATGAGACTTTCCAATGTCTTCGATATCACTGGAAGTAGCGCAACTGGTCTGTAACTGGTCGCGTTCTGCCGGTCACCACCCTTGAAGATAGGGGATAGGATGGCTCGTTTCCATTCACATGGAAGTTTCTCTACATCAAAGGAGTGTTGAAAAAGATCGCTCAGGGGTTGGCAGAGACTTTCTGAACACTGCTTTAGGACGGATGGTCTTATGTCATCGCTACCTGCAGACTTTCCCGAAGCCAACTTTCCCAATTTTACGAGCACTATAGCCGGGGTAATTTGAAGTGTACCCAGCAGCTTTTCGCACGTTGGTTTTGCATTGTAATCTTGATATTTTGTGGGGGTAAAATCCTCGTTACTGTTTAGTTGCCAGTGAAAGGCTACACTGAATGTCTCTGCCACTTCAAGACTAGTAAGAGATTTCCCATCAGAACCCACTAGATTGCAAGCTCCCTGATTGGTCGGTTTTCTTTCAGACATAAACCTGTATAGGCTTTTGGGGTTCACGAGAAGCTTAGTGGTGAGGTTTCTCTGAAATGTCCTTCTATCACTCCGGACTCGTATGTTACATCGATTCCTGAGTTCAAGGTACACTTCATGTTCGGGTTGACTCTTCGATAGTCGCCACGCAAACCAGGCTGTTCGCTTCGCCTGTAGAGGACGTTGTGTCCCCCTTCTCAGCCATGAACGTTGCTTCCTAGCTTTTGGTGTGACTAAAGGAACAGTGTCTGAGACCGCCTGGTGAATGATCTCATTTACCAATCCCCAGTGTTCTTCTACTGTAAGCTATGTCCAGTTTTTAGGCCAATTTGCTTCAGTCTTCGCATTTCGGTGTAATTGGCTATGTCATAGCACAGATAAAGCTGTGTATTGTCCCACTGTAAACGCTCGCGGAGGACTATGTTGAATTTTATGACCGCGTGGTGACTAATACCTATGGGAGTCGGGGACTGAACGTCTTCCACTAGTAGCTGGTCACTAGTGGGCACATAATCCAGTCTAGAATACTTCCCATCTAGGCTCCATCTAGTATCCATTCTGACATTTTCAGTGAATCCAGCCTCCCTGATGCTATGCAGCAGATTTCGATCAAATCTATCATTTGCATATCCCGTCATCAAGTTAAGAGATGGGGCATTGAAGTCGCCAGCTATGACAATTTGATCATAACCCATGTCTTGTGTCGCTGAAATTGTATTCAGCAGTGCCTGGTTGTGGTCTGCTCCACATGAAGGTGATCGATAAATGCTGCCCACTAGATATTTACAATACCCAACGGTGAAATGGCACCATATGGACTCAGGGAACTCAATGAGGGGAGGGTCCATTGCGTGAACACATCTGAGCTGTTTGTCGACGTATATGGCGACTCCACCTCCTTCTTTCAGGTCCCTATCTCGCCTGACTAGGACCATATCATTTATACTGACTTTGCTGTCTGCCACCGTAGGGGTTAGCCAGGTTTCTGTCAATATTATGATTTTGGAATTCAGCTGTGATTTTAGGTGTCTAAGTTCAGCTAATTTGCTTCTTAGCCCTCTCACATTACTGTACAGGCAACTGGTAGTCAGTCTCACCACGTCCTCGTATTGGGGGGTGGTTGAACTGCTGCGCTACAGGTGTTCAGTTTCTGCATGAATCATCTTTCCGTATTATTTTGGAAATTGGCCGCTTTCCTCACATTATCCACATATCAATACTTAACAAGGATTGTATTGTATCACCTGAAACTACATATAGTATTCACCCGTGAAATCTACAACCCGGAATCTTCCGATACCCTCTCTAACCACGTGGAACTCAGGATTTTATTCACAGCAAGCACTGTAAAGGAAAGTCTGGCTTTTTATTTTGCAATATATCTGTTTATCGTAGTTGTTTTGATACTTCGATAATACAGCTACCTTTTTTATATCCTCAAGACTTTTTCTGGAAATTGTGAAAATCCTTATTTCTGTAGTGGTTAAGTCAATCAAACGTGTAAGTACCGTTAAGAGACTGAGATCTAATGCTCGTCAACTATCTGAGGGCCTCAGCTCCGTTGGCGATTCTACACTTTTCACACCAGACACACCCAGAGTTATGGTATCTGATATCATGGGTGAACTGACAGAGAATGCGGCCTGTAGCGAAAATGATTTACTGATACTTCAGAAGTCAATGGCAGACCTACAGAGCAAGTCTGAAAGCATTATGCCCCTCGCGCAATTGTGTGACCCATCACAAAACATCTGTCTTGAATCACTTATGAAATCCGAGCGCACAATTGACTATTTGGCTGAAGAAGCTGTTAAGAGGATTATGTCTTCACATAACGTCTTGGCCTATAACATTCCAGACAGAGAGCCTATTGCCAAACTTAAAGCTTCGTGTCTGAAGGCTTGTAATATGTCGTTGACAGAATGTCAGGTTTTGCGTCTTCGTAAGAAATCTGCAAACCACTCATGTCCGGTGCTTTTCAAGTTCAGCTCTGTCGAAGAAGCCAGAAATTTTCTGAAAGCTGGTAAGATAATAGGCTCTTCAACACCCTACACTAACATTAAGGTTGCACCCGATTTAACACCGTGCCAAAGACGATGCCACTTAGGAACACTGAATACTGATAACTCTAATAGGTCAACTGTAGATGATGTTCCATGCGTTATTCCGTCTACTTAAAAACCTGATGACCGTATGCACCAGACATTTTCTCAAGCACAGACTAATATTAGCCAAGTTTTTTATAACGACACTGATGCTGACACGGAAATGGTGGACATAGATGAGTCAACGGAACATAATTTTGAAATAAATCGTTTTCACACTGACACAAACGTCAAGAGCCCGAAACCATTAAAACCCATCCCACTGGTGTTCCACCCATCCCCGTTTAAGTCAGTTACTCCTCAGTCTGACAATCCATCCACTGTGAAGCACCAGTCGAACGTAGCTACCCAAGTTAGCAAGTTTTCTAGGCGTTATGACAAACGTCCCATTTCCATTAAGAAAACTAAAGCGCATGAGGTGTCCAAGCAACAGAATCGCTACATAGCATGTGCTGGCTACCCTGTTAGCCATCAACAACCAGTTGATCATAAGAAAAAGGAAAAAGAAGTAAGTAAATTAAATACTGAACCCGGAGTAAGAAGGCCCTTTGATATGATAGAGACGAAAGCACCTCTGAGCCATCATCCTATGGGAAAGTCAAATATGGTAGACCTAGCTCCTCGGGTAGGCCTAATTGGTGTCAAGTGGAAAGTCAGTTATATCCTACCACTAATTCTAGACAAACAGCACAGCAAGGTAGTAGGTATTATTCTGCTCATCCACTACG